AACCGGCGCTGTCAGTGACTGCCACCGTGCTAGTGTCGCTGGTGGAGAGCGGTCAGGCGCCAAAGGCCTCTTCGCTGGCTTCAGCTGGGGTCGCGGGCCCTGAGGCGGCGCTGGTGGATGTCAACGTCTACCTGATCATCGCCATCTGTGCTGTGTCCAGCCTGTTGGTGCTCACGCTGCTGCTGTACACGGCGCTGCGGTGTTCGGCGCCGCCCACGGAGGGCAAGTGTAGAGCTGGGAAACCCACAATGATCAGCTCCAGCGCAATGGGAAGCTGGTCATGCTCACAGCAGAGGCGACAGAGGGTGTGCTCTGGGGAAGGTCCCCCTAAGACAGACCTAATGGTCTTCAGCCCGGGTCTTTCTCCGTGTCCTGGACCTGCAGATAAAACTGGAGAACCATCTGCTTCTTTGGACTCCTCAGGGAAGGTGGGTTTTTCTTGTGTTTTATTTATTTATATAATTATTTATTTATTCTTGAAAGATATTTTTATCACTTCCTACAGCATATTTCAATAGTTTTAAAATGTTTTTTTCTGAGAAATTTGCCCAATTTAAAAAATTTCCTTAACTTCAGAGCAGACTTTTATCTTTTGACTTTCCTAGTGAGAATTATCATAAACTGTTCATAAAACAGATAATTATTGGGTGCTGAATCAATTTTATTTAAACCTGCGTTGAGAGTGACAATGAATTCCTGATACTGAACCTCTGTAGCACCTGAAAACTATTAGGTGAGAAACCAATTTAGTTGTTACTCGTTCATAAAGATCAACACCACTCTATCATTTATTTTTTTCTAAATTATGCATGGAGTTTTCGTCTAGCTCTATTTTTTATAGGAAACCCTAGCAGAAATATGTGGTAATTGTTGCCTCGTTAAGTTTGTCATTCTCTGTATTTCTCTGGATGAAGACTGTAAAGATATGACTGTTCAGCACTCCTCAGTGTCTATTATTTCAATAAGAAACTTCCCCTAAACTCTAGAAAGCCATTGCTCTCTACTATAGGAATCAAATTCCATCAATAAGTGTTACAAATAAAACCGTCATTTCAAGTTGTATAAAATACTCTCCTAAATGTCTGACAATGTAAATTATAAGAAAATGTTGATTGATGATCTTTTCTACACTTAAAAATTTCTTGAAATTCCATTCTTTACTGAAATTGGAGAAAATATTTCCTGACAAGTATTTTCTTCCTTCAATAAGACATTCTCCTTTTTACTGAAATCTTCTCAGTTTAGTGATAAAATGCTCAGGCACGTAAAGACTCTACACGCTGAGTTCTCTTGAAATTCATAGTCTATAACTTAAAAAATTCCCCTACCAATTTTGACAAGGATTTGATTTTTCTCTCAGTAGTCCACAAGACAGGAATCTGGATATGAGATTTGCACCTTTGATATCACTACATGTTATACTTTTATTTCCTGGATTGTAGTTTGTGACTTTCAAATTGGTGTTCTCCACACTCTACGTTTAGTCCAAGCTATCTTTTTCTTTTCTAATTCACATTTTTAAATCTTCACTCATACTTAGTTTTTGTTATGTTATTTATATTTCTTTATCTTTCAGCTATTTTATATTGTGTCAAGTATTTTACAAGGTATTGTCTAATTAAAAACTCCGTGGAGCAAAATCAGAGTAGTCTTGAGAAGAGAGCCACAATAATAAATACGAAAATGCAAGTAAAGTTTATTTAAAATAAAATATTTCAAATTTTTTATTTTCCCCTAAAATACATGTTTGGAATACACTACAATATAATCCATTTTTTTCATTTTATTTCTTTCAAAACTTGAGTAGTTTCTGATTTCCTGTCATTAAACCTATGTCTATCTGTACAGCTCACCTTGAATCTGGACTCATACTTTCAAAAATCTCTGTCTTTGCACTTTTTTTTTCAGGTTTCATGTGCCATTTGAACTTGGGCCTAAGTATTTGATTATTTGATATGAATTGAGGGGTGCTATAAATGTTATCTGCCCCCCAAAACAAGTCCCCTAGTCTCTTAGAGGTAGTAATTATTGAGCATTTATGCAATTGGTAATTTAGTCCCTTACATTAATCTCTATTTTCTCCTAGAGTATGGGCTATTTTCATATGCAAATTCTCATAAGAGCTGTGAACACCTTAGTAATGAATTTATCTTTTGGGGTCATCAGAAAGCATGAACTCAGTGGGGCTGAGGGAAGTTAAAATTCAAAAAGGCTGGCAATTTCAAAACAGAGAGGTGAGACCATGAGAGAAACTTTAGTATTTTGCCTAATAGCTGTGCTTGTATGCTTCTGTAGGTAACGTTCCTCAATTCAAGCCAGAATTATAAAACCAATAATGAAGATTTTCCTCACCAGTTCTTCTCAAATTGTTACTAGACAGGGCAAAGTAAATTATCATCAATATGTTAACATTTTTAAGAGTAAAAGGGGCACTGTCAATAAGTATACAAAATCACAGACATAATCTGAGCCTGTTCCAGGCAAACTGGCATCTATGGTGAGGCTATCCTTAGACCTGCTAATGACAAGTGCATTACCAACAGCTGCAGGCCTCATTAAGACATACTTGTTCAAGACTTCTCTTTGGAATTTCCAAAATGGGTACTATGGGCAAATTTGCATTTACCTGAGGTGATTCTTATACAACTGAATTTTAAAATTCATAGTCCTATTTGATGCTTGATACAGCAAGTTCCTATTACTTGAAAATATGTGATTTCACTACTCCCTACTTTTATTCAATGTTGCAGATCTATACTGGGATATTTATGTTATTACTTGGCATGAAATGCACATTAGCAGAAATGGGGCTTAGTTTTTATTATCTTGTGTTGAGATGATTAATCAATGATGAACTTATTTTTAGACTCCAGATAGTAGCTGAAACTGAACATTGATATTGTAGATAACTCATTACATTTTAATTCATGCTTTATAAAAAAGCAATCCCTGAAATTGGAATTTGAATGGATTTCAACACTGGAGTCATTCCAAAGGAGTAAAGAAGTATAAAAACAATTTAGTAGGACACATAAGATGATGGATTGAGTGACACTCATTTCTGTCAATTTTCTTATTAATAAATATTATTGCTTTATTTTTTAGATTTTAATAACAAGAGAACTTAAAAGTTATTGATACATTTAAAAATATCTCCTTTACAAATCATAACATCATTAAATAAAAGAAATCAAACAGATGCTTCGCGCCAGCGCCTGCTGGTGCTGGTGAAGGACCATGGGAAACCGGCGCTGTCAGTGACTGCCACCGTGCTAGTGTCGCTGGTGGAGAGCGGTCAGGCGCCAAA